ACCACCACTACTACTACGACTACTACTACTACTACTACTACTACTATTACTACTACTACTACCACTACTACTACTACTACTACTACTACTACTACTACTACTACTACTACTACTACTACTACTACTACTAAGATTCCCCAAGGGGGTCGTCGGAGACGCCAAAGGCGTTGAAGTCCGAGGAGGAGAGGAGAAGGAAAGGACGGAGAGGGAGGGCTCGGAGGCCCCTGGAGGGGGGGATGTGCCCATCCGAGGGAACGGTGCACCCCCCCCTTCCCGTCGTGAAAACGAGGCACCAGCCGTGGCAACGACCCCCACCCAAGCCAGCGGGGAGCGTCATAGGGGGCGGGGGTTCTGACGTCGATGACAGAAGAAGGAGGAGAGCGGGAGGCAAGGAACAGGCAGACGAAAGCCCTTTTAGGCTTTACCCGGCATGTGGGCATGCCCTTTTTGGCTGTTGCGGGGGCAAGCCCGCGCGGTCGCCCGCAGGCGATAGGGCGCCCTGGCCTTCATGCGCATGATTGCCCGCTGAAGCGCCCCGCGGCACGACAGCGACGGCAAAAGGACAAATTCGGTGACGCTGGAGCCCCTAATGCGACGAGGAAGCTGCAGATGCATCTTCTGTGACACTGGAGCTCCACGGGACAAGTCAGCTCAGCCTGCCTCAGCCTCAGCCTGCATCAGCCTCAGTCTCAGCCTCAGCCTGCGTCAGTCTCAGCCTGCTGCGCTCCCGCATACCCCTTCGGCCTCAGCCTGCATCAGCCTCAGCGTCAGCCTCAGCCTGCCTCAGCCTCAGCCTGCTGCGCTCCCGCATACTCCTGCGGCCTCAGCCTGCATCAGCCTCAGCCTGCATCAGCCTCAGCCTCAGCCTCGGCCCTCAGCCTCAGCCTCAGCCTGCCTCAGCCTCAGCCGCACCTCCGATGGCGCCGAGGTGGCTCCCGTGCGTACCTGCACCCACGGAACTCACATCCGATGGCGCCGAGGTGGCTCCCGTGCGTACCTGCGCGCACGGAGCGCACCTCCGACGGCGCCGAGGTGGTCCCCGTGCGTACCTGCACGCGCGGAACGCACCTCCGATGGCGCCGAGGTGGCTCCCGTGCGTACCTGCACGCACGGAACGCACCTCCGATGGCGCCGAAGTGGCTCCCGTGCGTGCCTGCACGCGCGGAACGCACTTCCGATGGCGCCGAGGTGGCTCCCGTGCGTACCTGCGCGCACGGAGTGAGCTCCGCCGGATTCTCCCGGTTTCTGCCGGTTTCCGCCCAGACCCCCCTGGAGTGCCATGGTGCTCTCTTTTGACCCTATTGGAAACCTATCAGCACAAGCTGTTAGGTAAAAGACACAGGCACAATTAATCGTCGACCCCCCCGAAAGTATGGGAAGATATAGGCAATGGTGGGGAAGACAAAAACGTAGAACATAGGGGAAAACACGGGGAATCCTGCTAGTTGTGTGTGTGTATCTATGTGTGTCCCAGGGCCCCTTTCACACTCCTCCAGGAGACGGAGAGGCTGCCAGTGCCGCGGCACAGGCAGCAGCTGGAGGCGCAGATTTCCTCTTGCCAGAGTCCAGAGCCCCTCGCGGTGCAAAAAAATCACGGCGGGAGGTGTTTCGCTGTTTCCCGCTTCCGGGGGCCTTTACCGGGCCTCGGGGCCGTTAGAAAACGATGCAGGATGAAAAACTGGTCCCGCGGAATGGGTCGAGACGTCTGAGGGTCAAGGTCGTGAAAAAAATCATGACGTCGAGGGTTTGGGAATGGGTACAGAGAAGATGGGGTCGGAGGATCGCGCCGCCGCAGCGATGCGGCGCGATGCGGAGCCCGATTTTCGCCACGCCAGCGTCACCGAAAAATCGCCGACGCCGAGGATGCATCGCCGAGGTAACGATCTGCGCTGAATTGGCGATGCCGCGCGATTTTCCGACCCCATCCACCCGGACCCTATCTGGAAGGCCTGTCCTTGCCGTGAAGAAAAATCGCAACGGCAGGTGTTAGGCAGTTATCGGTCTCTGGTGACCCTCGCCGAGCCCGGGACCGTCCGAAAGCGGCTCACGATGGAAAACCTGTCCTGGGCAAGAGGTCCATACCCTCAGGGATCCAAGGTGCGAGAACAAACGCGACGTCGACGTTCTGCTGCAGCGCTGGCACAGGCTGTAGGCGCAGATCTCCGACAGTATGCTTTCTCTTCGGGCGGCTACGTTTCCTGGGTTCTGGCCTGGGAGTTGTTTTCGGGCCCCAGAGGCAATCAAGCATGGATTTGGGACGACAAGATTCCTCCATGGGAACGGCCGGGAGCTGGAACAACCCATCATCGGGACTGGATCCTGGTCCCCGACGTCACGATTTTTTCTCATGCCGTCGACCCACAGAGCACTCGACCCATCCACTCCCCCAGGCTGGCTTTTCACCCCGAGTTTTTTTCTTGATGGCCCCTGGGCCCGGCGAGAACCCTCAGAGGCCGAAAACGGCCAAACAGCATCCGTCGCGTTTTTTCTCGCGAGTGGGAACTTCAGAGCGTGAACTACCTACCCCGCTTTCGCTTCCAGGCAAAACCAAGTCATACCACGCGCCTCCTCGTCAAGCGGCCTGACCAGTACAGGCCGTAGTTTGGCATCGTTTGGTATCTCTTGGAAGCGAGGGTGGTCAAAAGCGAGGTAGGTCTGTTTGCTCCCTAGAATTGGAAAACCCTCGACCTGCACCTTCCGCATCTTGCGCGTGGAAGGGGCCGCCGCCGAGTCCGCCGCGGCGGCCCTGGAGGCCGCCGCGGCCAAGCCGCGGGGGGCACCTGCCGCGCGGAAGGTGCGGAGGCCGCGGCAAGGCGCAGCAGGGCAGGTAGCCCTGACTCCGGATCCGCCCTACTTTGGGGAAATTCGTGAGTAGGGCTTGGAATTTCCGCCTTAGTTTTCAAGCCCCGCTGCTGCCAATTTCCGCCCTACTTTTCTGTTGCTGTTTCCGGCCCACTTTTGCGGATGTCCGCCCCACTTTATGCTGGGTGCAGAAATTTCCGCCCTACTTTTTCGGCCTCTTGTAAGTTGATTTCCGACGCAATTTTAAGTTGGGAAAAAAGCCAAAGTAGGGCGGATCCGGAGTCGGGGAGGGGGAGGGGGGGCGGCTTTTCAGAATCAGGTGATCGCAAGCATGGATCAAGGGGGCGTGGATTAGCGACGTGTTCCGCGTCCATGGGAAATCGCGGATTCCCGCCTCCGAGCGAGGCGGCACTGGCCGCATTTTGGGGAGGGCACCTCCCCCGATCCATGGATTTGGCGACCGCGCGCCAAATCCACGGATCGCTATAATCCATGCTTGCGCGCCCCCGATGAGAAGGCGCTCCTGCTTCTTAGAAGGCGCGGGCCTTCTCTACAGATGTTTGGCTGGCGCCTTCTAACAAGCGGCCGCCTTCTAAGAAGCCTTCCCCCTCCCCCATACCCGATTCCCAGACCCCCGACGTCATGATTTGTTCATGACGTCGACCCCCAGAGGTCTCGACCCCTTCCTCAGGACCAGTTTGCATCCCAGATAATTTTTTGACGGTCCCGGGCGGGGCCCAGAAAGGGCCCACAGAGGCCGAAAATGGCAGAAATCCTCCCGTCGCGATTCTTTCACGACTCCAGGGGGTCTGGGCTATGCGCGCCGCCAGAGGGTGCAGCAGGGCTGGACCTAAACGGTGTTTTGGCGTGTTCGTGGGCCGTTTTCGTTTCGATGTCGCTTTGCGGCAAGGGCGAATCGAAGACAGCACGAGGGAAAACGAAAACAATACGAAAACGAAAAACACCGCTCAGGTTCAGCCCTGGGGTGCAGGTCGAGGGAGAGCGCGTGTCGTCCGACGGTTGGGAGGCGTAGGGGGCCACTTGCGAACCCTACCCCTACCCCCCACGATTTCTGCGGGGGGGGGGGTCACTCCGTTCGGGAGCTCCCGAGCGAAGTGAACCCCACCCTCCCCCTCAGAAATCGTCGGGGGCAGGGGTACTCCAGATTTCGTAATACAAGGGAGGGGGGTCTCATTTCGGGGGGGGTCTCTTCCAGGCTATCTTGGAGGGCCTGGGGAGGTCCGGGGACGATGTTTTGGAGGGTTCTCCCACGGGGGGGTCTGAAATGGCTTGTCTTGGAGGGTCCAGACCCCCTCCTTTTTATTACGAAGTCTGGGGTAGGGTTCGCATGTGGCCCCCTAGAGGCGCAGCCGCGCAGCGGGGGGCTGCCTCCGGCGCCCTGCGCCGAGGTGCTGCGGCGCTGGAGGCCGCGGTGCTGCAGCTGCTGCCCCGCCTCGGAGGCCGAGAGCGACGCCTCGTCGCTGTACGGCGACCCCGACCGGGAGGAGGAGGAGCTCGAGCAGGATTGGCCTAGCCTTAGCCCTTGCGCCGTTCCTCCTCCTCCTCCTCCCTCCTCCTCCTCCCTCCTCCTCCTCCCCTCCCCACCTCCTTCTCCTTCTCCTCCTCCCTCACCTCCCTCCCCCTCCTCCCTCCTCCCCTCCTCCTCCCTCCTCCCTCCTCCCTCCTCCCTCCTCCCTCCTCCTCCTCCTCCTCCTCCTCCTCCTCCTCCTCCTCCTCCTCCTCCTCCTCCTCCTCCCCGAGCGTAGCGGATCTGGAGGCCCAGACCCCTGACGTAATAATTTGTTCACAACGCCAGCCCAGTGGGCTCGACCCACTCTTGACGGCGCGCAGAGGGGGGCAGGAGGGGGGAAGGCTTCTTAGAAGGAGGCCGCTTCTGAGAAGGTGCCGGCCCTACATCTCTACAGACAAGGCCCGCGCCTTCTAAGGAGGAGGGGTGCTTCAGCCTTCCCACTTCCCCCTACCACCCCCTCCTCCTCCCCTCCTCCTCTCCTCCTCCTCCTCCTCCTTCTTCCTCCTCCTCCGCCTCCTTCTCCTCCTCCTCCTGCTCCTCCTCCTCCTCCTCCTGCTCCTCCTCCTCCTCCTCATCCTGCGCCAGCCTGGCGGAATTTCTGTGTTTCGGGCCCCAGTCGGCCTCTTCGTGCACCACTTCAGAACGCTGCGTGCCCCGTGCGTGAAGCCCGACGAGCGTGACAAGAGCTCGAGGAGGAAGCTGGCGGGCGAAGACTGCAACGGGCGGACGGCAGCTGGCAGACCGCAGCTGGCGGACGGCCGCGTCACTCTTGACCCGCAATGGCTACTCTTTTCCTCTGCTCTGCCTGCCTGTCCCTCACTGCGCGCGCCGTCTGCCTGATCTGCTGCAGGGCTGGACCTAAACTGTGTGAGAGCGTTTTCGTTGGCCGTTTTCGCTTCGATTCCGTTTCGCGGTAAAGGCGAAAATCGAAGACAAAACGAGGGAACGCGAGCACACGACGAAAATGAAAAATACCGTTCAGGTTCAGCCCTGCTCAGTTGGTCGCTGCGCCCAGGTCGACTGCGCCCTGCTTTTTTTCTTGTCCTCATCGCGCCGGGGCGCCACAGCCCGAGGATTCAGGCCCAGCCAGCGTCGAAGAAGGAGGAGGCCGGCGGGCTCAGAACCCAGGAGATCCAACGCCTCGGCGAAGCTCAGGACGCAGGCGGTTTGCGCCGCTGCTCTCGCAGCTGGGAGCGCCAACGAAACGACTCGGGCTGCAGAGCCGGTCCTGGGGGATGTCGGCCACGCGCAGGAGGAGGAAGAGGAGGAGGAGGAGGAGGAGGAGGAGGAGGAGGAGGAGGAGGAGGAGGAGGAGAGGAGGAGGAGGAGGAGGAGGAGGAGGAGGAGGAGGAGGAGGGGGGGGGTAGGGGGAAGGGGGAAGGCTGAAGCACCCCTGCTTCTCAGAAGGCGCGGGCCTTGTCTGTAGATGTAGGGCCGGCACCTTCTCAGAAGCGGCCTCCTTCTAAGAAGCCTTCCCCCCTTCTGCCGCCCTCTGCGCGCAGTCAAGAGTGGGTCGAGCCCTCTGGGCCGGCGTTGTGAACAAATCATTACGTCACTGACGTCCAAGACCCCTGACGGTCAGGGGTCTTGGACTCCAGATCCGCTGTGCTCTGTGCGGTTTTGCAAGTAGAGCAGAAATCCCCGCCCTTTGATTCAAGCTCCTCGGATGCCGATTTCTGCTCCACTTGTCCGTTGCTGAGTCCGCCCCCCTTTTGTGCATGTCCGCCCTACCTTGTGGACAGTTTTGCTGGATTTCCGCGCAAAGTTGTGGAATATTCCAGAAAGTTGTGGCATGTTCCGCGAAGTTAAGGACCATCTTCTGAAAACTTATGTGTTGCATCCTGCGGGATGCACTTCCGACACCATGCTAATTCAGAAAATCCGCCAAGGTACTTCAAGGGCAGCGATAGGAAGGGATAGGCATAGGGGGGACGAATCGATCCCCAGTCGCCCATCGGTCGCTGATGGGGGCCCGATAGCTGTAGCTTCAACCTCCCCAGAATGTGCGGATTCACGATCAGGGGCCTATTGCCGATTTATCGGCGATGTATCGCCGCTTCCAGGTCGATGTGTCCCCCCCTGTGCAAGTTCCCCCCGATCGTTGCCCCTCAGTACTGCGGATCCAGAGTCAGTGAGGTCGCCGACGATTGGATCAATGTCCACTTGCGGTTTCTCTCCGACTTCGGCCCTCAGGGGCCGTCTTCGGGACTCGGAGCCATCAAACCTTCATCCGGGACGACAACTACTCCCGAGGAGGCTGTCAGGACCTCCGGTTGGGCGTTGCGTGATGGAGGGGGCGATAAATGGAGGGGGGTGCGAGGGCTGCAGAGAGGGAGCCCTCCAGGGCGCCCAAACGGGCCCTCAAGGGCCCCAAAGTGGGCCGTTCGGTCCCGAGAGGTGCACCTCTTCGGCGAGGAGCATCGAGGAGCAGATTGGGCCTCCTTGCGAGGAGGAGGAGGAGGAGGAGGAGGAGGAGGAGGAGGAGGAGGAGGAGGAGGGGGAGGAGGAGGAGGAGGAGGAGGAGGAGGAGGAGGAGGAGGAGGAGGAGGAGGACATGCGCGCACGAAGCCGAACGAGGCACGAGGAGTGGACGTCCGAGCGCTGGCGAGCTCAGCGACGCCCCGTCTGGGGCCGCGGGCGGCAAAGCATCTTCTCCGGCGGACGGCAGGGGGCATCCATCGGGAGGGGAAAAAGCACCCAGACGCCACTCGTCGTGGATCCCCCGGGAAGGATGGGAAAGGATGGGACGAGGGGGGGAAGACAAGACGAGGGCCCAGAAGATGCAGGCAAAACTAGGGGGGGGGATCCTGGGATCTGTGTGTGTGCTCGTTGGTGTGCTCCTGGGCGCCTCTCGCCGCAGAAGTGCAGGCGCACGCCCACCACGGGAGGGGGGCGTCTGCCCCCCGGGGGGCGGCTGGCAAGGGCGCGCCCCGCCGTGCCACCGCTCACATGCTGATTACTATCGCGTCTTGCAATCAAACTGTACCCAGGAAGCGACGACATCAACAAAGAAGTGTCGAACCACGTCTCTGTGAGACAAGCGAGATGGGGAGAGGAAGGGAAGAGGGACAAACGGGCGGACAGTTCACCCGAGTGACCCGGGAACCGCTCAACAATCCGTAAAACGGAGGGCGAAAGTCGACGAGCTGCCTGGCCGCCCAGGGGCCGGCGATCGCAAACATGGATCAAGGTTGAGTCGGGCTTGTCCCTCTGCAGGAGGAATATTCAAAGGAAAAAGTAGTCGGGGATGTGATGTTTTGATTAGGTTTGGGTATGTTTAGACTATTCTTGTCTATTCTTAATTTTTCGTCCAAAGTCTCCCTGTAGGAGGACAGGCCCGACTTCAGATTCAGGGGGCGCGGATGAAAGACGCGTCCCGCTCCCATTGGAGATCGCGGATTTCCGCCGCCGAACGAGGCGGCACTGCCCCCGATCCGTGAATTTGGCGACCGCGCGCCCAATCCATGGATCGCTATGATCCATGCCTGCGCGCCCCCGACCGGGGGCCAGCGCCCCGAGCTTACGGCACGCTGTGTGTGCTTCCCGCGGACCACGCGTGAGGGTGACCTGTCGCCAGAGGTCGGAGAACAACGCCATGCAGTGCCGTTCTTAATGCATGCTCCGCGTGCGGATCGTGTGTTACAAACGCAGGGATCTAGTACTAAAAACAACGATGAGTTCATGCATACATGTATTCACAAATTAATCAGGTGTTGAAAATCATATGTATTTTTGTTTCCCCTATGCATGAACAACTGCCCTGTAACCATCATTTGTTTGGCGCTCCGCGCGGATTTCTTGGATCCGCGCCGTCCCCCCGGCGCGGAGCGCCAAAAGTTTATGTTCATGCAGTTTGTCTTCTTCCAGGAGTTCACCAGCCTCGAACTTATCCCCATCCCTAAGATTGACACGCCCAAAGGCGATGACAATCTTAGGGATTCGCTTTGAAAAACGAAGGGAATCCCTAAGATTGGTATCGTGATGAGGAGATGCCCAGCATAGGGATAGGGATATGTTCCAGGCTGGTAAGGAGTGAACTTTTGGTGCGGGCCCAATGGGGTCTCCCGATCGCCGAGCGCGATGCGGTAGTAGCGTCTTGCGCGTTTGTGTTTGGCCACCCCGTCTCCCCCGTCAAGCCGCGCACCGAAGGCCACTCTTACCCAGGGTCGCTCTTGCATCCGCCGATTCTCCATCTCTTCATCCAGACACCTCGCAGGAACTTGCTTGAAATTGCAGGGTGTCCCAGAAGGCGTTTTCTATTTGTCTCCCCACTCCCCATGCGTGTGCCGCCAATTTTCCCAGAGGCGCCTTCCAAGAGCTTCCAGAGCACCTTCGAGGGACCTCCCAGAAGCTTCTGACGCCTTGCTATCCAGGTTTTGGGCACCACAATGTGCTTCTCCATCTTCGTCCGCTGAGTAGGGTGAGTTCGGTCCCACGCCGCACAAGCAAACACCCCGACATGCGGGCCTGTCCCTCTACAGGAGGAATATTCAAAAATAGTATAAGAATTGCCTGGGGATTATTTTTGATTTTTGGGGTC